CCCCGGGAGCTTTTGTAAAAGCTGGCCCCTTACATATGGAAATGACGCTCGCGCGGGTCCCCACGCTCGTCCTTTTGAAGGACGCCCGCCCCGAACCTCGGCGCCGCCTGCAAAGTATTGTCCCGCTTCTTGTGCCCTAACAAAGCCTCCGCCTTCGCTTTGCAGAGCACTGGAGGCAGGCAGCCGGCTGTCCCCGCGCAACGGAGAGGCCGACAGAAGGTAGGCGAGGACGGCGGGGGCCTGGCGGTACAATGGGGTGTCTGAGGTTTCTGGGGGTGAAGTGGGCTGGCAGGTCGGGACGCATCGGCATCACAGGTTGCCAGGGACGTGGGCTGCGCGTCTGCCCTCCGGCAGCACCGCATAGCGCAGCTCGGTCTGGGCGCCTCCGCTATCCGCGTGGTCCCAGCCCGCAGCTGCCAGCTAAAAGCGGCTACCGTATGTTGGTTCAGGAGTGGACTTGAGTCCCGGAGGGAGCAGAAACGGTGGTGGTTCTATTGCCTTGTGCCAGCCAGGCAGGCTTATGACTGAGAAGCTGAAGAGAAACCTGTCTGGGGAAACCCAGGGTGTTAGCCTGGGCTGTCTGGGTAGCCGAGAGCTACTCTTAAAGTGGGGATTTTCGAAGGTGTGTGGGATCAATGCTTGTAGAAAGACTTTCCCTGGGCAATTACTAAGAAAGAGTAAAGAACAAAATGACACTGGTTAGTTGTCTGAAAGTCTTGATCGCCAGACCAGCAGGATCCAAGTGTGTGGAGTGTTGCGGGAGAAGCTTTTAGGGTTCCAGGGGCTGGGCTTCTTGCAGGCACCAAACCGATGCCTGACAAAAGGACAAAGCTGATGGAAACTGTTCACTGCTGAAAGCTCTTTCTGCGAAGTTGAAAGAGAGAGATAGAAAGAAGCGATCTCCTAGCCTCAGCCCTGCAAATAAAATAGCAGCTGGAAAGATTGTTCCATCGTGTACCTTGTGTCTACACAGCTTATCTATTATGAGGTCTTCGGCTTTCTTTACTTCACTGGAACAGATCCTCTCCTAGTGTTGAGGGATTCTTGAGGTGAGCTTGTCATACAATTTAACTCGCGAATTTATGAAATCAAAACATTGTATGGTTGTATTTCTGTGACTGACATGGTAGCTTTTTAGGATTAGAATCCTAATAAAGTCCACCGTGGCACATTGGCTAAGCTCCTGAGACTATCCAAGATTCTCAGTTGGGCTCCCTTGCATACGTTAACATAAATTTATATGTTTACATGTTTCCTGAGGCTTGACAGTCTGTAAGAAAATGTATTTTTTCTGCGTCAGCTTAATTTTATCTTGAATCTTCTCTAGTGATGAACATATTGGTGGCTGACCTGGAATACTGGCAGATCTTGCTCTGGAGTTTAAGGGGGCTGTGAAAAATCCCAGACTGTGTGTAAAAGTGACATTTCAGGTTGGCTACAAAACCAGTTTGTTGTGGTTTCTTCAGCTGTTGTCAGTGTCCTTAGGTTAAGTGAACTGCTAGGGAGTTTGTTTGCGTATCTGTTTATTTTTACCTACTCTGTGTTGATTCTTTAGAGGAAAGAATTCCTAACTGCAGTATAGATAAAGAGTAGGACTTATGGATGTTCCAAGTGGGTTGAACATGGGGCAGAGGCAGGATAAGGCTTTACAGGGGCCAACAGAAAGGAAGCCATCAGAGGCACTGTTTTTGCATTAAAATGTCAAGGATCAGTCATTTTAATAGGTACTTGCTCAGAATGTCATGGGCGTCTTTTTTCTTGTTCTTTTGTCATTTTAGATATGTGATGACCCTTAATAACAAAAGATGTTAACTGTCACAGAGGGCAGAACAGAGCTCCAATGAATTCTGAACAGCCAATCTTAATTTAATAGGCAATATTCTTATCATAAGTCAAATGTTGTTCAAGTAAATTGTTTTTAAATGTCACTGCAAATGACTTTCTAAACTAACATTTCACCAATCTTGATGCTTCCATTTTATGTTGATAATGAAAATACATTCTATCAGGTTTACATTGATAAAGGGTTGGCAAGTTTAGCCAGAGCGTTTTCCAGGGATTCAAACAGCCTAAAGCCTTTTCAGGAGGTTTATTTTTATAGATGCCAATTCATTTGTAAGCCAGTAAATTATGTGGTATGAATTCTGGCTATTGAACTTACATCTGTTGGGCAAGGGCTTGTAGAGAGACTTACTGAAGCTTGCGAAAAGACACTTTTATCCTATTTACAAATAAAATAGAATTTTTAAAAGATTATGGGAATAAGCAAGTGAGCAACTTTGAAATTAGGTTGCTTTTTATTGCAATTTATATCAGCAATTAACCATTTATTCCAGCTTTTAGGTGGAAAATTACGTATTATGTTCTAAGGTTCACTTCGGAAACGACATTGGGAAAATCTTTTGTTTATAGATGCAAAAAGAGAAGCTCTTTTACATCAGAGAACTGTTCTTATAGCTGCAGGCATTCTACGTTAATTTGAGTTAATATGGCTCAAGAAGTGAAAGTTGTTATAAGCAGGCTCTTTTAAGAAAGTAACAAACAGGCAGCTGTTTTCTGCTTCTGTAATTTCACTTAGTAGCTGATTACAGTTCCTGAACCCAAAGTGGTAGGCTCATGATTTTATTCCTCCAGCTTTCCTAAGTGAATGACTTGATTGGCTTACCCACCTAGCTATGAGGTTTAACAAAAGCTTGACTTTTCTACATCATTCAGGATAGTAAAATACTACAGTTTATTTATGTTTTAGAATAAATTCTAGTGGGTTACCCTTAGTTAAATTTTATAGTGTAGTTAGCAAAGGTTATTTTCTTTCAAATTTAATATAACTTTCTCTTTGTGTGTGGTGGCATTAAAGCCTTTGTGTTATATTTTTATATCATGATTTATATTCTTGATGATATTCTTGTGCTTTTGGTATCTAGAAGGCTATTTGACAGTAATCAGTTTGGACAGCAGTAGTTTTTGGCAGAAACATTCTATATAGATATCTAAATGAGGACGATTGCTTTTTCTATTAAGCTTTTGCTAAACTTAATTTTATTATTGTCACTATTTCATTTTATACTGAAATTAGTCCAAGACAGTAGGACTGGAAATCTGTGCAGCAAATAAAGTGCAAAAAAAAAAGGAGAAGAAACATTTAAATTTGATCATGGGCATTATGAGGCTCTGACTTACCAAAATGGTGAAAGCTGAAGGCGTGAATGAAAAGCTTTGCCAAAGCAGGGTTTATGCCTGTTTATCACTTTAGTTATAAAGTAACGAAATTAGTCACTTGGTGGTCACTGCCTGGTCTGTGGACCCCCAACAGCTATGTCTGAATGCAGATCCAAAAGCATCTATTATAATAGCCAACGAATGCGGCTGAGCCAAGAGGGACATCCAGACATTCCTCGTAGCTGTTCAGCTGCTTGACCATCTGGAGGGGAAATAAAAGGCCTGGGCTAGGGGGTCTGGCATTGTGCTTATTTATTATTTGGTTTTCCCTTGCCAGGCTTTGTCCCTTTTTCACTCCCACTGACCGAGAATAGACGTCCCCTTTGGCCATGGTGCCATTCTTACAAGCTCTTTTCTATATCTTGGATGCTGGAAAGTTCATAAGTTCATGTATCCACTTCATGCTGCCCTTATGTTGGGGAGTTCATTATTCCAGCTGCACCTCCACCTATCTCTTTTCCAGTCCCAGTTGGGACCGTGATTTCATCAGCCTGGGTTGCCGAGTGGAACACAATAACACAAATCAGTAATGGACATCCTTGTCAGGGTCTGCACATTTTGGCAGCCTTGTTTTCAGTTATTTGGAAAGAAAATGCTCCGAATAGTTCTCATTATGAGTGGTTACTGGGTGGTAAATGTTTTGATTAATGGCTCTGTTCATCTGCCTCTTATTTAACCACCCCTAGTAAGAACTCCAAAATATTGCTCACACACTGGCCCTTTTATTCCATTGGAGTAGTAAAGGCTTCTGACAGTTTGAGAAGGTAGATGATGAAGGGAGGCCCAGGTTTATGACAAGCTTTGTAAAACTAGAATTGTTCTTTGCCATTTGAAGGAAGATTTATCACTCCAAACCCAACTTTCTTTATCTCTGAGAAAGATTCGTGTCACTGATGGATGCCATTTAGGCTCTGACTCTGGAAAGCCTTGAACTGCACAGATTAGACCTAAAAATGTTTGGGGGAATTAATTTAACAACTGTCAATTCCTAGACTATGCCCATTATTGAAGATATGAGACTCTTCTTCATGGTCATTTTTACATAAAAATTTATTTTTTCCTTCCCTAAATCCTGCAGCAGCTTTAGTAAAAGGAGATTACTTATTCTGTGTATCCCTAGTGCCTTGTAGGCTATAATTATTGAATATGTGGATGAAGGAAGGGAGGGAGAGAGGAAGGAACCCCACCACTCCCCATTCCAATTTGTGGGAGTTTGTGGCCATCAAGCGTTCCATGGTGGTTTCTAGTACTTGGTACATGTGGTTAACACATAAAGGTATAGATAAGTGATTTGCCAGTAACATTTCAGTGATCCCATTCATGTGTTCTGTGTACATGTATACGATTGAGAGACAGTATGGTTTAAAGTCAGACCAGGCCCCACCCCCATAGTAGCAATGTCCCCTTGGACAAGTTGCTTGATTGTGCCAAGCTCCAGTTTCTATATCTTAAATGGTAATATCTCTACTTTAAAGAACGAAGAGGATTAAATGAGATTGTATGTGTACTCGGCGTAGGCCAGACTTAAATGCTCAGAAGTTTAAAAAGAATTTCTCCTGAACTTTCAACGATAGTTCAGTCTTTCTGCTTTTCTTTGACATTAAGTTTATCAGTAATCTCCCTGAAAAGATAGAGGAAGCGTTGAACATTATCTCCTGCTATTACCGTTTAGTCATGTTTTAATATACATAATATATCCCCTGCCCATTCTGGTATTCCACAGCTCTCCCTCTGCGTCTTTGAATGGCTTTGAATCAGCCAGACCTATGTATGGCTGATTGACTTGTACGAGTTACCTCTTTTCAGTTTACCCCTCTTTTGTAAGTTGTAGGTATTTTCTTGGTTTTCTCAGATTCCTTCCTGTATCAGCTTTTTCTAGGATTAGCTCTCTTTCTTGATTACCATATAACCCTCAGGACAACCCTTCCAGATGGGTATTATTCTTCTCATTCTGTAAACCAGGGGACCAGGGATGGTATTTAGTACAGATTCTCCTCCAAAGTCACATCTCATAACAACAACAACAACAAAAAATGCAGCTGAAGTTTGTGAATCCGTTGGCTCCCTTACTAATTCCCTGAACCAAACTTTAGATGGCTCTCATAGTTCAGTTTGGCAGTGGGTGTTGGCTTTCTGCTTCTGCTTGATTATGTCTAGAACTGTAAATGCCTTTGAAAAAGGGGTTGGATGGGGGAAGTAGAGGTGTGTTTGTGGAAGAAATAGGCATTTCCAAGTCTTCATATGCTTATTTCTGTAGCTCTCGTTCAGGTTAAATTTCCACTCGAGGAATCTCCACTCAGTCCACAATGTTGACTATGTCCTGGTGTGAAGAACACACTGTACTATGCATTTGGGGAGAGCTATAAAAGAAATAGAAATTGTGGACCTTGTCCATGAAGAAATTTCTGGCAAGTAGGGGGATAAAAATTCTTGCACATGAAATTACTGATGAACATTTGGGGGATAATATCAACCAGTAAAAATGCATTCCATGCCAGAAGAACACTGACAACTTGTCGCCATATGTAACATCTTTTAGATATTTCCTTCCGTACTATCATGTGTTCGCAGGGGTGAGGCTGTTTTCCCCTTCCATCAAAAGAATGTTTTCCTAAGTATCTTGGGAAGGAGGGAGGTGAAATAAAGAGATGAAAGAAAAGAAAGCTGCCATAAAATGAAAGAGGCTTGATTTAGTGAAAATACGATGACCTCCCAAAGAGCAGGGCATGTTAGCTTATCAATTCAAAGCTGTGGATAAGATCAGGATTTCTCAGTACACTGTGAGTTTTACGGCTCATTTATGTTGATTTAGGTGGACAAATCTTCACCCCTTAATAATTTTAAAAGTGGGAAGCTTTAGAATCCTTTCACTTTTGAGGTGTTTTTGTTTTTGTTTTAATATGAAAAATCAAGCAGAAACAGAGTAGCCTGGCTTTTATAAAGTTGGTCAGATTACAGCTCAGGGGAATGTTAAACTCAGTGAGTCTGAGAGCTATGGCAACCCTGAAGATCTCAGAACACCTTGGGGATTCGCAGCGGATCCCAGCTGACAATTAACTTGCAGACTCTAGGTGAATCTCATTAGCCAAACCTTGGCCTTGTCTAAATTCCTGGGTTTTGTGGCTTTGCTTAACACCTTGGGGTTTCTTTTCTGATGCTTTGATGTTTATATAGCACTCTCAACTTATTTTGAAAATATTTACATGATGATTAGTTAACCCAACAGACCAATTCTGGGAAGGTAGCCAGAGCCAGCAGCACCTTAGTAATAGAAAAACTGATAATTAGGAGAAGAGACCTTCTGAGACCAGGAGTCTGGACCAGAACGGTGCCACTTCGTGTTAATGAGTGGCCCCAGTAAAAATCGAGCTCCATGGTGGAGCTGTTTGAATCCATCTTCGGGGTCCACCTGGGTCTACCGAAACCTTTGAGATGGCCAGGGCCCTGTTTTAGCTTGTCATGTTTTGAAGAGTTGTCTATGGAAAGAAAGCCACGCAACCTAGAGCAGCACTGATTTGTTCAGGGCTCTCCTATTTTAAGTTCTGGCCGGGTTCAACATTTTAACTTGCGTGTTTCCTATGTTGTAATGGTCTGCTCCATGGAACATCACCTGTAAGTTAGAGTTTTCTGACCAAGAGCTTGGTTTAAAGGTGCTGCTTTTAAAAGTGGAATGGTGGTTGTCAGGGGCTGGAGGAGGGGGAAATGGGGAGTTACTGTGCAGTGGGTATAGAGTTTGTCATGCAAGATGAAAAAATTCTAGAGATTAGCTGTAGAACAATGTGCATACGGTGAACAGTACTGTACTACACACTTAAAATTTTGTTAATAGGGTGGATTTTATGTTATGTGGTTTTTATCACAATAAAAAAATTACCATGATAAAATAACTGACAAGATAAATTTTTTTAAAGGTACTGCTTTTTATAATCAAGGGCTGTTTCTGAGAGCCATGTTTCAGATGGATGAGGTCACCTTCTCAAGGGTATATGTCGTATTTGGCTTCTATTGCATCATGATGAAGGTACCTTCAGATGTGCAGGTTTCAGGCTTTCGTTGGAAGACCCAACACATTAAAAATGAATTATCGTACAAACAAAAAACCAGATTTATTATTTAAGCATGATGTACCTAGTATTTTATAATATATATATTTAGCAGAAGTGATTCAGAGAGTTATTGATGACTCCATGTTTTTACGGGTCCCACAGAAAATGGAAAAACAGAAAGCCTGGGGTTTGGGTGGGTCACAGAGATGGAAGACAGAATAAACAGATGAACAGAGATGAGATGGCCGATGGTAGAGGTTCCCCGAGATTCTGTATGATTTATATGGCCCGTGACTCCTTCAAACCTCACAGTCTGAAAGGTTGGAGTGGTGTTTTCCCCTTTCTCTAGGCAACTAGGCATTACCTAAACCTCCCTGGGACTAAAATGAGCCTCAGGGAGTACTCTTCCTGTCACACCTCATGTAATTGCACCAATAAAGTTAATTGAGTTGCTTTTTGAGGAACTCATGTAAAAGGCATTTGGTCTCATGTAAACAGGGAGGTGGTTTTGTATCAGAGTGTTTTGCGCATGGCCTCCTGCTGCAGTCCTCCAGTCTAACAACAGAAGGGGGCATCTAGGCTAAAAGAAGAGAAACCAAACAGCTCATCCAGGCCAGCAGATTACAACATCTGGGCAGGTCGTCGGGAGCTTGCGGACTTGTGTGAGAGCTCTGGCCCTGCAGTCTGTTGCTGCTAACAATTAGTTCATTTGAAAGGACTGGATGTCAGAAGTGGTCTTTCACCATCTGTAAGTCCTAGGCCAGATGAGCTGATAGAGAAGGCTCTCAGTTTTGAGTTTGATAGACTGGGTGCTGGCCTGAGGGGCAGGCAGGAAAGGAGGGTGCCTTTCTGCTTAGGAGACTCATTCATTCTGGTAACGTTACCCCGCGGTGACCCGACCTCTGGGTAAGCCCCGTGTGAGGGCATGGGGCAGCTCCACTGGCCAGGGTCCTGGAGACACCCGTGGTCTTGCTGAGAGGTGTGCAGTGTTGCCTCTCCTTCTGGCCCTCATCAAGATCCTGATCCATCAGCATGAGGGGACTAAGGCATACAGAGCATTCCCAAGGGGCTAGCATGGGTGGGGGTAGCGTGCCAAGGGGTGGTGGCAGTAGGACTCTTGGGGCTGCCACAACCTGTTCTTGTCTCTGTCCCACACAGGTGAGCGCTGTGGGCTATGGGATGGATGAGGTGGAGCAGGACCAGCATGAGGCCCGACTCAAGGAGCTGTTTGACAGTTTTGATACATCAGGCATTGGGTCCCTGGGACAGGAGGAACTCACTGACCTTTGCCACATGTTGAGCTTGGAGGAGGTGGCCCCAGTGCTGCAAGAGACGCTGCTTCAGGACAACCTCTTGGGCAGGGTAAGGCTTGGGACGACAGCGCCGGCAGTAGGAAGTGGGGGTGGTTTCTGTTGGGGCGTTGGGGGGTGGGGCAAACCACACGGACTGCAACTTGTTTCTAACATCCTGACCGTGTGTGCCCCTGGCTCCTAACCCGATAAACAGACAGAATGTAATGGCTCTGACACAACAGTGCAGTTTGCTCAGGTGATGAGGGCCTGCTGTACTTTGTGCTCTGGAAAGAAGGTGAACACTGAACATCTTAGAGAAAAAATAGGTAACAAGAGGATGTTTTCTAACTTTTTTCTCATTCTTTGTGAATCATTTTATGGACTCCACTTTCATCATTGAGACAGAAGAGAGGAGACAGATTTCCACTGAGGAAAAGGGAAATGCAGTGAGAAAACTGCCATTCACAGGAAAAGCAGATTTTGCTATTATGACTTTTACTCCCAATAAAGCTATTCTTGTGTGTGACTTGTTTCTGAAGTGGAGTATTAATTAAACTCTTCACCCAGGAAATAAGACAGGAGGGTAAGTAAATACAGTGCAGGTTCAATTAAAACCCAGCACGACTTGCTTCCAGCAGGGATGTACATGTGTGCTGATGTTAACTTCTGTGTTGACAACAAATAGTCATGTTCTCTCTAGAGATCGAGTCACAGATGAATAAAAAGTGAGAAGGGGTCCTTTTTTCCCTCTTGCTGTTAGTAGGGAAGATATTTGATCTGTCAGGACCTGTTCTCATGATAAGAGCATCATATGTATGGCTTTGCTTGATTTTTGCTGTTGATTTTTCTGAATGGATGAGAGATAAAAATGGGCAATACTTTTGGAGTTCTATGGCTGTCATTGCAACAATAGTTTTTATCATGTGGTGCAAGTTGAGGAAGCAGTCATGAAGCTCAATTTTATGCCAGTGACTGAACTTCCATTTTTTTTTTTTTTCATTTCATTTTCACTGTCTATTAGCTGACAAGTTGGGTAAGTGACCTTATATACAGTACGTACAATGTATTGGCTCTCTGTGACGTGGACAGAATAAGAGTAGCGATCATCCTGAAATTAATGCACAAAGAACGATACTGTCAGAGGGTTGGTGCCATGAATGTGGTGTTTATCAGGGCTCACACTTAAAGGAAAAAATTGAGTTTTTGCAAAATTGGGACCATTCTTGGTCACTTTGGGAGCATTAGCTGCTTGTGAACATATGTGATTTCTAAAGAATGCTAAAAATCTTACTTTGAAAGCACTAGAAGTGAGGGATTTGAGAATTAAATTATTTTCTCCTCATCATGCAGTGCACTTGTGTTTTTTAGTTCTGCTTCAATCTCAGACCCTTTGGGGAGCCAAGAGTAGTGTTTCCCTCTGTAGTCCTTAGAGATCTGAGGCCTTTTGGTGTCTGAGGAATAGTATGAAAGAGTGGATCTCTTTTAATACTTATTAAAACTTGAGAAGACATAATACAACTTAACGTTTCCTTGAGAGACTGTGTTAGAGTCAGTGTAAATATGGAACCCTCTGCTGTAAACAGATCCTCCTAGGCAGCAGATTAACAGTTTGCTCTCCAGATGTTGCACATCTTTGCCCTCATTTGGCAAACTAAAAGGGAGAGCAGTTATCGATTGATTTGTTAATAGCTTGACACTACCAGCCTGCTTTTTACATTTGCTATTTGCCTCTGAATAATGAATACCTAAGTGGTCTATAGTGTGATATTTACTTAGTGAGCCTGTGATAAAAGTTAAATAGATATATGCATATTGATTTCATGAGGGAGGTCCCTGGCGATTGTCATGAGAGCAGTGTTGGCATGAATTAATGCACTACTGTTAAATTTGCATTTTTTATGAAACTAAATTATTCTACTCAGATGAGCACATAAACTTAGCCATATGCTAAGATACTCTCTATATGGCCTGTATTTCCTTTTAAATATAATGAAAAAATTCCTTATAAGTCACAGAAGCAATCCAAGTGCTATCACCTTCTTGATATATTGAGTAGGGTCATACTTGAAAATTATGAGTTTTTAATGCCAGTCATTTTTTTTCTCTTTAGATAGTATTTATAAAGAACTTATAAAGGTTAGCAGTTTGGTTTAATAAAACAGGTGAAAGAAATAATAGCATGAGAAATCTAAGTAGATCCATATATTCATTCATTTAACAAATATGTATTATGTGTGTCCTGCATGTCAGATGTTAGCCTTACGACATGGCTGCACCTTGTTTATGTTCATTGTAAACTAACATTTCCCATAGAATTAGCTTTTGGGTACATTAGTATCCATCAGCTTCCTGGATGCTTATGGCTGTAATGTTATCTTTTAAATCTTAATGAGTATAGTTTTTAAATAAAACTAAACTTCCAAGTTTACCTTTATTGGAATTGAGCTGAATTAATCATTTTTCCTTGAAAATCAAATAAGAAGATAAAAAGCATTTGTACCCCTCAACTAAGAACATGACCGTTGTCAGGTTTTTTTTAAAAATCCACCTTGAATAACTTCTTGTACTTTTTTTTCTTAAAACCTAATGTTTCTTTTGATAGTTGTTAAGGAAAGTAATATAAATTAACTTGCCTTTTTCATGTATTTTAATCATAGGCCATTTACCCCCAAATTATGTTTAAATCCATCTGTCTAGTCTTGCTTTATAACTTAAAGCCCTATTCCCCTGAGCACAGTGGTTTGAAATGCCTAAAGATGTCAATGATTTGAAAGAAAGAGGACATTGCTAGTAGGGATTTCTAACTAGTTTATCAAAAGAGCTCCATCCATATTTTTGTCGTAGTTAAGCACCTGTCAGGTGGTGAGATCCCAAGACAAGAGACTTTTAAAGACACTGAAGAACTAATAGTCTGGTCAGGTAATGTACATGGCAGGTAAATAGTATTGGGAGCAAATACTACAGACATTTAAGAAAGGGAACCACATTAGTGCTTTTATTTCATCCAAGCAACTGATACCTATTGTAGGTGCTGCCAGTTTTTGTGTCTTTTAAATAAATCTCTCTGTATACCTATCTTTTTTACTGGAAATCAGTAAATATGATAACCGAAATCAGGACATAAATATGATAACTTACCTTGGTTTTATTGAAGTCTCTAGTTATATCCAGTTTAAAAAATACATTTTCCTTTCTCATGGAATATATTAGCTTTGACAAAAAACAGCCCCTGAGGTTCTGATGAATTTCCTTGCGATACTCTTTAATATGAATCTGGATGCTGAGGGTCCCAGTGTTCTTGCACTCTTTAGAATCAGAACAAGCCACCTGGTAGCAGAACTCACCATTGGCTTCCAAAGGAGTCCAATAAGTATGTAGACTCCATAGGTAATGTGCTATGTGTACTTCAGAAGTCATCAAAGACACTGAAATGTTTTAGTATTAAAATTTGATAACCGTACAAATGTATAATTTAGCTCGGCTTTCCTACTTTTCATTTTAAAGTACTGGGGGTTCTTTTATAAATGTCAAGATTAATTTCATATGGAGGATTTGCTTGTTTCCAATTCATTAAAAGCTTTTAAAGATTTTATGCATGTTTTAACTATTTGAAAAGTAAATCAGAAATACAGAAGTACTTTCTGGTGGTGATTATTTGGATTTGTTCTCTACGCATATATCATCAAATAGTGCCTATTTATAGCAACCCTGTGTTGACGCTCCTTTTTTGTATTTTGATCTGAGGCTTTTTGAATGCATTGGAGGGAATGTTGAAACATTTCTCATTGCATCTCTTAAATGTCTGAACCTTCACTGTATCTTATTGTTTAACCACTGTAGAGTAATTTGAAATAGTGAAGGATATTTTCCGATTCCTATGTTGGTCCTGTGATTTGAGGTGTCTCTCCATCACTCATTTTCTTTTCTTTTTTTTTTTTTTTAACTCCTACAGTACCTGGTATTCCTAGGTGGTCTCCCATCCAAGTACTAACCAGGCTCAAACCCAGCTTAGCTTCCAAGATCAAACGAAATCAGTCACGTTCAAGGTGGCATGGCCATAGACTCATTTTCTTTACAACATTCTCATCTGGGGTTGAATTGAATGCCTCAGGGTCTGTGGTTCCCATTTATACACAAGGAGACAGTCTGAGTAAGAGGTTACAAGACTTGTTTCTATTCTGTGTTAACATTTCCTGTTTAAATTCATTGCATAATTAACTTTGGTTTTGCATACTGTGAACCTTCAGTATTTCAGACATATTTAGCCTGACTGAAAGCAAGGGCAGAGGGGAAAGTTGCTTGGTTATTCTCTTCTACCTACTTTGCTTTTGCCAGAGGAAGAATGGTCAAGAATGCTCATTAGATTTCTAAAATATTCCACTGATACTTTTATGAGTAGCTTCTTGTGTGGATGAAGGGACTTAAAGTTCTTCAGTGTCCATCTGTATGATGGAGGAACTCGGAACTTGGAAAAGTACAGTGACTTGTCCAAGATCAGGCAACTCATTTGAAGCAGCACCAGAATGGAAACTCAGATTTCCCAGTCCTTGAATGTGGACGCATGTCTCCACAGCCTCCTCAGACTCCAGTTATGCAAAAGTGAATCTCATTCTCCATCTCCCCTCAACCCACCATCACATTGGGACAATGTACTATTGGAGCAGTTTCTGAAGTCAGACCTGAATTCATATACTGACTCTTGCCACTTTCTAGCTATATGGGTGTTTTATCTTAAATATCCTAAGCCTTAGTCTCTTCCTTGGTATAATGGGAAAAATAATACCCTCCTTGTAAGATTGTGGTGAGGATTGACTTTGATTGTGATTATCAAAGACATCACAGAGCCAGGTACACAGTTAACCACCATGTTCTGTATCTCCCTCCATCTCTTACGTACCTAGAATGGGTCTTTGATTAATAATGGCTTCCCAGTAACAATTTTCTGAGAAATCTCATTGGAGTAGAGAATGGATTTGCTAAAAACTCATGTGTGGTGGTAGTTTGCATCTATTTCCATCCATAGGCAGGGCTCTTTAGATCAGTGTTGTAGCACAACTTCACACAGTTGCT